CTATGGCTGCCATCCTCCAAATGTTGCAGTAAGCTGTAGCGCCCAAAATAGCGCAGTTCAAATTTCCCCGACTCTCCAGCCTACCTCAACCCAACCAAAACGAAGAGAGAACCCGAACTCAATCTGCCCTAAGATATTCTACCTGGACCCTGGCCTACAGAACAGCACTAGGACCCAGACTGACTCGAAACCACCTCGGCCTACCCAGTACACACTGTAGGAGAAAAGTCAGTGCGCCCATATCTTTTAACCGGTTACAAAAAAGTCCCTATGGGGGCAGGGCCTGTACTAGTTGCAGATTAGGGCCCGACAGTGAAATAAATTGCAAAACTAACCCCACTAATGTTGCAGCTGGCTGATTATCTGCAAGGTCGTTGAAATACTGTAAACTCAGAGATCAGCAGGTAGACGAACAAGCTTGCACACCTGGCATCCATTGAACAAAGGCAGTGAATTAGCACCCCCACTTCCTCGTGATTGGGAAGAACTCCGGAGACACACAAATGTTTGTTTTTGCAGTTTATGACCCTGGTTGTTTGTCGTCAGAAGACCAACACCCGCACACATAGAAATCCAAGTTGCCCATACATACACAGAAGGAAGGGGAGAGGATGGGAGTATCACACCGCACAGGGAGAGATAAACACAGCGGAAGACTTGTCCATGCGATATGACAGAAAACAGTGAAAGTGCAATTCGCTCAAAAGAATCCTCACAACCAGTCACAAATGAAAGCGAAGTAGATCACATCCAAGAAACAATGAAGCAATGATAGTCCACACACACTATACACACTGTTTATTAAACTCAGAGTCTTGAAATGTCAGAAAACCCCCAGCAGCATGGTGCACTGCTTAGAGATGAGCAGCGCTTCACTCCCCAACCCTGAATAACCGCTAGAACTACCCCTGAGTCCCTGAGACAACAGGCGCCACCCAGTTACTGCCTCCAGAGGGAAGTGCCACCCTGAAACAGGCCTCTGAGGTCAAGCGCCTCTCAGATGATGAAGAAGAAGACCAACGCCACAGTGTCTGACTTTGATGAAGTGCCGGAAGACTTCCCGCGTGGAAGTCTGTAGCAGCGCCACCTCTCCTGACAAAGATGGTCCCTGAGGAAGAAGGCTGCAGCTATGGCTGCAGCACCAAACACCCTGACACCCTACTCCTGAGGAGGGTTCAGCAGGGCACCAACTTCTCCCGCCTCCAGCAGACTTCAGGTAGCCCGGACCTCTGAACAGCCCCGCGTGCTGTCAGAGTACAGCGTAGGTCCCAGCTATGGCCGACGCTCCGCAGGTCCGGCTATGTCTGTCTCCTCCAACGCTGAAGCTGTCACCACTCTAGTTCATACGTTGTATAGCAGTGACGTACACGGTACCAACTGCCAAAAGCCCCGAATAGTTTTCCCTAACCTATTCGTACTCTACCCTAGCCTACACACGACCTAGACCTGACTGGTAGGACTGACGGGTACCATTTCAGTTTCGGCCTCTAGGGCCTCTCCCTACCCGGCTATAGGCTATAGGACCGTCCATCAGCTTAGGCCCGTAGGGCCTGTCTGCCCTAGGGGTAGCCCGAGCCTGCTATTCGCAGTTAGGGTAGCTGTAGGAAATTCTAGTTAGTGTGGGCCTATATTTTCCCCAAATTTCAGATATGCAGGCACAATGCCTCGGTAAGCCCTACTGGGCCCCGATATCAGTGAGGTGGGCCGTCCTAACTGAAGGCAGGCTCGACCTAGGCCTATTTTGGACTACTACGCAACTGAGGGGGAAATTCAGGCAGTTGCGTAGCGTCAGTTGGTTGGAAGCGCCCAGGACCAGGCTGTGTTTTATCGCATGTAACTGAGGCAGGCCCTGGGCGGGATACACAACATGGACCGAACACAGGTTGAGGGCAGTTGGGCGCTGGTAACCACCACAGGCCTTGGGCCTGATCTGTCTGGACTGAGGCTCAGCCTCTCGGGGCCTACCAGAAGCTTCTGGGCCGGGGCCCAGTACCGCATTACCGCACGCAGCAGCAGGCCACTCGGTTAGCCCTCAGGCAAACAAAATTACAAATCTAAACTACCTATGTTACAGCCTCGGGTCGACAGGTCACCGACGGCAGCAAACAGCAAGTCATTGCAATTCCCTTCTTTCTTCCAGTGGCAGCGGTGGTGAGGACAGGCGAGAGGGAGGGGGAGGTACTTCTCCATTTGTTTTGAGAGTCTGCATGGGTGGTCAAGTGGATGGGATTCGAGTTTTGAGATCCTCAAAAGTCACAGTCTTTTATGATTTCTGGCATTTCTTTATTTCTGTGTGTCATCCTTGTGCAGGGGTTACATGTCTACCATCTCTCTGTTTCGTTAAAATCTTTAACTGCTGTCCCAAACAACAAACTGGTTTTCTTGGGAAATCCTACACGACCTTAAAAAGTTAAAAACCCAAAAAACAGAACAAAGGGGTAGTTTCAAGTTTGCATGAACCGGTTTTTCTAACTTTTTGGGGGTAAGATTTCAGGTGTTCTTTTTTCTTTCTTTCAAAATGGTGTAATGAACCCAGTCTGGTAGATACTCAGAAGTTGTCAAACACCAGTAGTCTTGGTATCTGCAACAAAGTCTCCAAATCATGAAGTGATATCACAAACAGTATCTCATTACCATTAGACGAAGAGAGTGGAGGGTGATCAGACAGAGGAGAAGGTGGAAGAGATGATAAAAGATACAAACGAGTAATCCCGTCAAAACCCTCTCCTTCTCCGGGCTTCTTCCCTCTCCACGTCAACAACCAGTAGATGATAACAAGTATAGTAATCCTGATCACATACAGTAGTGCCACGTGGCACTCTTATCTCGTGGAGACCATGAAGACACAGCAGATTTCAGTGACGACGTCAACCTCAGGTGAGTATCCGGCCTCCCTCATCCACAGATCCCGATCTTCCTCCTCCTCGCAACCAGTCAACTGATGTAGACAGCGTGGACAATGCCACGTCAGCAGTCGAGACAGGTTGCATACGCCACATCATCAATAAACAACAGTGGCACACGCCACATCAGCAATGTAGACTAGTAGCAGCGCCACATAGACCAGAGGCAGCACCACATCAGCATGCACTGTAGACCAGAGGCAGCCCCGCATCAGCATGCAATGTAGACCATAGGTAGCGCCACATCAGCATGCAATGTAGACCAGAGGTAGCGCCACATCAGCATGCAATGTGGACCAGAGGCAGTGCCACATCAATGTAGACCAAAGGCAGCACCACATCAGCATGCCATGTAGACCAGAGGCAGCGCCACATCAGCATGCCATGTAGACCAGAGGCAGCACCACATCAGCATGCAACGTAGACCAGAGGCAGCGCCACATCATCATGCCTGGCGCACAGAACAAGTAGCGCCAGCATGCTGCCTCCACCTCGTGCCATCGTCTGCATCGCCAGTGCGCAGCCAGCGTCTAGCCAGCGTCGAGCCAGCATAATGCCAGCGTCTAGTCAAAGTCGAGCCAGCGTCAAAGCAGCATAGCAAGAATGAATATCGTCGACCTCGAGTCCAGTCTTTAAGTAGCATTTGACGAGGCTCTCTGGCCTCGGGTCTCCTCCCCTCAGTCGTACAGATTGATTCACAGCCGAAGGCCTGGATTGTACAGTTGCAGACTTTCCCCTTGGACCTGATGCTGGATGGGTACCTGCATACAAACAAATGACCGTGTCCAACCGGCGGCCTGGGCTGGGTACACTTTGACTTTGACTTTTGGGGTTTATGACAGTTGACTTTTGTCAACTGTACCTTGTCCAGGCCCAGAATCTTTTGCTGGGGTCTTTTCCCCCGTTTTGGCCTGGGCGTGGGTGTGGCCTGGCGAGGCCCTCAATTTCCACGAGGCTTACTACATGGGTTATTGCAATGGGTATAGCACCGGAACTTCCCATGATGTCACTCATGCCTGTACTATTCCGTCCCAATGACACTTGGCTTCCGAGTTCAAATGGTATCAGGCACATTAGCCATGGTATGACGGTACCATGAAGACTTTTGCAATTTTGCACAGGGGTCATGCTAATCTTCAGGTGTTCTTTTTCTTTCCTTAAATTGTCTTTTTCTTTCCCTTAAGCTCAATTGATTGGTTGCAGGGTTCTTCCAAGAGGTTAAAAGTTCGTCTGGAAGACCTGACAGGCTCTGCCTGCCCGGGTACCCAACTCCGAGGTTAGAAAAATGATGAAAAAATAAAACAACTCTCAAAGATCTGGATAAACAATGTATTGTGTAAAATGCAGTACAAACAACTTTTGATAGTCAGTCTTCCCAAAATTGCTGACTAATTTCAAGATAAACGTAGAATAGAAAATGGGAGTTCAGATATACCCATCTAAACCCCTTGAAATCCTGTTATACCTCCCAAATCTCCCTGGATGGACCATCACGAAATCGGAAGGTAAGGATGGACTCTGATAGCTCAGGCCATACGGAATCCTGGCCTGAATTCAGATATGTTTTCCTTCTTTTCAAGCCTCAACCCTTTTTTCGAAAACCAGATGGGTGGGGCCCTGCCTGCCTGGCCGGGCACGCCCGCCCAGATGCCTGCCCGACTTAGAACAGAACAATGAAAAATGGTGGATCAGCCAGTCTTCACTTCCATTAGAAGTTACTGTGAGTTGCAGCTTAACGCACAGCATCATGGATCTAGTCCACCAGGAAGATTGGGTTCATGCTTAGCCAGCATAGAATAACATGCATAGTAACTTGTTGTCGTACGTTCTTTTGTCACTTCACAACCTGCCGTCAAAGGAAACCCTTCACTCAATCCACACATGCAACACACCTTGAACCAGATCAGACTCTTGAGGTTCACTTTCAGATGATAATAAACATCCACCAAGCAAGAGCAGCCAGAGTAAAGCGAGAACACACCAACTGTTTCCCATCCCCTGAGAATTCAACATCTCCTGCAGGTTTTGGGTGAGCACTGAGCACTTTGTTTCCAAAAAACAGGAAACGAAAAAGAAAAGAGTCAAAAGACCCCATACCTCTTGCTGCAGGGGGTAGATCCTGCACGCACAAATTCAATGACAGAGATGGCAGACAGGTCATAAACACAGGACATCAGAAGCCAACATTTCAATTTATACTTGCAGCCGTACAGGTAACAGCATTCCCTTCTCACTAGATAACCTGTTGCGGCATCACCCGAAAAAAATGAGAGGAAAGACAAAAGGTAGAAACAGCACAATGATATGTCCTGTACTTTGCTGCTGCTTTTTTTTTTTTCTTTTCTTTTCTTTTTTTTAAACAACAGCCCTTATGGGATATAGGGGCACTGGTACGAGCAGACACCTCTGTCTCCCCTTGGGAGGCTCCATCTATTGGTGGGGAGCAGCACCTGCTGGAAATCGGGTCCAGCATCCCTTACACAACAACCATACTTTGCTGCTGCTTTCCCAATAAGGGGGGAAAAAAAGAAACTGATAACAAATGGGGACCATAATAAACCACCAACACGAACACGACCGGTGATGTGCTGTTTTTCTTGTTTATCCAAATCACAGGACCTTATGAGCCTGGTCCACATCAATTCTGAGGAACGTCAATCCGGTTCTAATTCCACTGGAAAGCAGGGGTGGGCCAGCAACCGGCCGGTTCATCCAGGTCGGTAAAAGCGTGGCCGGTCTGGTTGAGGGCGTTCAACGGGAAAACTGGCTGACCCCGAAACAAGGCCGAATTTTTTTTTTTTTGACTTCAGGATCTGACTGTGCTTCCTGAGAGCTGTGAGATTCCACAATGAAACTGTAAGGTCCAAGTTCTTTCTCTGGAAGTGTTCCAGAAAGGGGGAAAAAGGGAAGGGGGGAGTGGAAGGCGGGGGGTGGATGGGGGGTTAGTAGCCCAATATGTATAATACTAGGGCTTCCATAGCCTTTTGCGTCACCTCTCCTGTCTCTCCCTTCCTCTCTGATCTTTTCTCTCTCCTAGCAATCTCCTCCTTTCTCTTCTTCCTCTCTCCTCCTTCCTCTATCGCCCTCAGCTACAAGACAACACCGACCTTTCTTCAGCTATCATCTTCTTTGACGTACCAGGCCTCCAGTGAGTTATGAATTTAGTTTCAGAATTTAGCCTCATTACCCACAACACCACGCTTCGGATAATACATATACTAAAATAGAACAATGTGTAGACTGAACCAGAGAGCCACAGAATGGTCCACTCCTGCAATAAAATAAATGGAAAGCCTAGGTCTGCAGTAGGCTGGCAGTAACATCTGAGTTCAGTTTGGGCATCTTCTCTCAGCAGCTGAAGGCACCATGTGTTTCAATTGGATGGCCCGTGAAGAGATTTGACTATGGATCATTGTAGAAATAGGGCAAAAAATAAAAATAGATGGATTTCAGGCACTTGCGAAGGTTTTTAGTCTAACTCAGAATAAGGGGCCTATTTTTTGGCCATAGGTGTTCAGCAAGGACTCTCCATGATGAGATAAGAGAAACCTACTGCCTTCAGAAGAGGGCGGGCAAATAAGGCAAGAGTGAGGTTGGAAACATATCAGCAGGATAGACATAAAACACAAAGTTGATAGGGTTCAGACGCAGACGATACTTGAGCATATAAGAGATACTTGGGGCAGGTTGCATAAAGGTTGTATAAAGGAATGCGTAGTAGAGATTTGAGGGCGGTATGAGGGTGTAAATATTAGATGGTGCCCAGAGGATCTTAATAGGGAAACTGAGGAAGGGTTTAACACGATGAGAGGCTCGTGAGATTGCTAGAACAGCCCCCCCGACCCAGGCCTCCCCTGGGGACCCGTCTGTTGTGTGGCTGGGTGCTGCTAGGAAGCTTCCCGACCAACAGAGGTGTCCCTGGGAAGGCTATGGTATGGGAAGTGGGCTTTGGTTGTAGCAATCCCCCCCTTGAGAGGCGTCTAGGGCCGCAAGGGCAAGGCTTTCCTCTTCTCTTTTAAATCAAACTGTATTTTGTTTTTCCAGGCTTGCCGGTGATGAGCAACCGGACTGATAACCCCCAGAATAGAAGGGGCTGGGTATTATGGGTGAAAAAAAGAAAAAAAAACGGATGAATCTCAAAATCAGAGGGCTGGGGAATCCAGAAGCCCCCACTACTGTATCCATCAGAAATGGAACTCATGATCTGTTTATCAACATTTACATGTGTCTACCATCCAGCCAACAACCACGCAGAGATTTGGGAAGTTCAAAACTAACCTTGCAGTTGTACACATTGAGGATACCAAGAATATTTCTTCCATTTGACATCAGAAGCTCCCTTATCAGAACTGATACACACTTGTCCCTTGTACCTTGATCCCAATTCCGTGTTCCCCTCATGACTTGTAGGGCTGATACCATTCGATCGTAGCATTTGCATCTTCAAGATATAACATCAAAGATACAAGATCATCACAAAATGAAACGACTCAGTCAGGAGCCAAGCATCAATCACTCACTATCAAAATCAAACCAAAACCAAAAAAAATATGTTAAAAAAGAATTAAGGGCTACAGCTCATAACTCTTCAGGGCACAATTGGCTCCTTTTCTCTACCAAATCGACCTGCCTCTGCCTGGGCCCCTCAGCCAGCTGGTCAGGGTTGAGCAGGTGGCGGGAGACCAGAGAAGCAGGGCAGGAAGACGGGAAAGAGAAGGAAAAGAGGCAAAAAATATGGCTGCTGGCAAACGCTACCACATGGCGGCACAACTTTGTTTTGGAAAATATGGTATCCAGTCCCTTCTTTGGATCTGGTGACGGGGAAGTATGGGGAGTTATAAACAGGTGCAAAGGGGTCTGAAGGATTGGATATTAACTTTCTTGAGTTCCTTTGCTATTTCTCCTGTTTTCTCTCTTGGACCTCTGAGGAATTCTGAAGTGACCATCAGCCAAAAGGTCTTTGCACTTCAATCCTATGCCCTAGGAAGATTCTGACGACCGGCCAGTCCGGACCGGCCGGTCGCCCGGGCGTCATGCCCGGGCAGGTCCGAACGACCGGGTCACCCGGTCGTGTGAAAAAAAATAGCCTTTTTTTTTTTTTTTTTTTTTTT